ACTGGGTTCAATTCTCAGTACTGCATATAAATACATGATTAAAATAAAGGCCCATCAGCAACTTTCACTTTGAAACCAAGCCAGCAGCATGCAGTGGCATAGACCCTGCATGTCACATCCCAGTCGTACTGATTGCACGGTGCCCCAGCTCTGCCCCCACCCCACCTGGGGCACTTCTGATTCTCACTGAGGGCAAGTGCAGAGTAGGCTTGCTAGACAGGACTTTAACCAAGTGAGTGGTGTGATTAGACTTAAATTTTAAAAGATTCTCTCTGGTTAGACACAGGAGTTCAAGGATCAGAGATCTCTATTTTGTAGGGTAAAACTATTCAAACAGTAGAGAAAAAAATTTAACCAGATCTTTTTATGTTTGTTTTTTATTTTAGAAATCAGGACCCTTGATATTTAGGAAAACTATGTTTAACTCTACTGAAATCAGGTTTTCTGGTAAGCATAACTAAATAATATAAACCTATATATTATAAGTTAATCCATTAATTTAATGTAAACTAATGTAACAGCATATATAGAAAGCTAAGCAAATATTTTGTTTTTAAGTGATCCTGACATTTTAGAGTTTGGTTTCAGTCAGACTTTGGTTATTACTGAATGGGTTTTTTCTCATCCTTCAGAAAATGGAATATGAATCATTCTTTAAAAATTATAATTAAGGTCTAATAAAGTAGCCTTCAGCAAAAAAAATATTTGTTTTAAGTGATATTTGGCTGAGTCCCAGATTTCAAAAGATAAAAATCCAGGCTAGAGTTTTGCTCGGTTGGAAGAGTGTTTGCCTTGCATACACAAGGCCCTGGGTTCCAGCACCACCACACACAAAAAAAAAAAGGTAAAAATCCTTTGAATACGTGAAATGTGATTGTGATAAGCCCTTAATAGTCCTGAAATTTTCTAAGAATGCATGGTTCAGTACAAAAAAAATAGCTGGACACTACCATTTTCACTATGAGTTCTAGGACTTTTGAAAATGAAAATATTTGTTAAGTGCTGTCTTCTCTGTGTAATTGCTGTTGTACCCACATTTTTTGTGTACTTTTAATGGATCCTATTTACTGTGGTCGAATTCTAGGAAAGTTCGTTACCAGAATTAAAGAGTCAGGATAAAGCATATTCTTAGGGTAAAGCAAACTGGCTTCCCTGAGATCCAAAATTAGGCCCCTTTCCTCTGTCATGTGTTAGGGGTGAGTCTGCAACTCGTGGGTCTCTCCCCCGGAAGCTAGGCCAGCCAGCAGACAGGGAGCAGAGGTGGCTTAGAGAAGTTCTGGTTTCATAGTCATCCAGGTGACCAGCATGTGAGGAGGAAGTCTTGGGTGGGTGAGAAAAAGTTCTGCCCTCTGTTTGCTTCAGTGAATTTATGTCTCCGACTAGGCAAACAGGCTTTCAACCTCTGACTGGGGCTGACAGAGACTATATGGGGGAGGAAATAATGTGGTCCTCTGCAGGTGTCTTAAAACTTCTCTGCATAATGCCTAAGACAGTTTAAGAATAGACTATAGTCAAAAAGTGATTTTAGCATATCTGAAGAAGGAATGGGGCAGGACAGAGGATGCAAGAGCAGAGTGTAACCCTGCTGGGATTTAGTCAGACTCTGAGTGACTTTGTCCAGCAGCGCTTAGGGAGAGAGAGTGCTGGACCACGGCTAGAGCTATAATGTGGCTGGCCCCTATGGGGGAAGCACCCACCTGAACCTTTGTCCTGGTGCTACGCTCACCAGGCAGCCTTCCTGTCACCAGGGTGCTTCCAGGGAAGAATTGGCCATCGATGCATGTCCACTCTGCAGCTCCTCGTTGTTGAGAGTGAGTAAACGGGTAGTCTAGTTTATCAGTTGACAGGATAGGATCCAGTGTTGGTGTTCTCACAGAACAAGTTTTAGTGACTGCAGAGTTAAGTGTGGTCTCAGCTCTTAGATGTGTTCTTGCTGTTATGGGACATCAGACGTCTGGCTTTCTGTTAGGTGACTCCTCTTCTGCTACCCAGTTCAGGATGCAGTCATGTGGAGCATGTGTTGAAAATATCTCAGTGCAATTCACCAGCTGTTGACCTCATTATATCTAGAAAAAACATTTGAAAAAATTCAACACCCATTCATGATAAAAACTCAGAAAACTAGAGATAGAAGGAAACTTCTTCAACCTGATAAAGGGCATCTATGAGAAGCCTGTAGCTAGCATGGCACTGTCAGTTCTCTCCAGATTGATCAATCAAGTCAATTGAATCCCAATCAAAGTTAAGAAGACTCTTTTACAGAATTAACTACCTGTTTCTAAAATTTATATTAAAATACAGAAGACCTGGAATGGCCAATACAGTTTTGAAAATGAACCAGGTTGAAGGGCTTTTGTTGTCTGATTTCAAAACTGTAGATTCATGGTGTAGTTCTGGAGTAGGAATGGGTGTGTAGACCGTGAAACAGACCAGAGAGCTCAGAGACAAACCTGAGCACAAGGGTTTGATTTTCTTCTAAGGTGCAGGGTTGTCTAGGAGAAGGGAGCAACAAGTGGACATCCACATGGGAAAAGGCCTCTCCACTCTTCAGACATGGCGCCTATCTCTCTCCAGAGCTTCCATCGCACACCAGATCACTCTTCATTCAGTGCTTCATTTTGAATATTCTTCTGCTTTCCTGCTGGGTTCCTTTCTGCATCCCGTTCCTTCTCAGCAGTCCAACCTTTTCCTTGATATCTTCGAGCTAGTGAAATACTCTGTCACATGCTTGTTTGCTCATCCCTCATCTTTGTCATTTGGACTGATTTATCCATGAAGGCTACAGGACAGCTCTTCCTGTATTGTGTGTCTAGAGTCTTTGTTTCGATGATGGGTATTGTGAATTGTACACTTGGAGTGCTGCATGAGGTTGTGGCAGGGTGTAAGAGCTCTCCTGAGCTTCCCCCGCCCTCTACTCTTCCCTTTCTCCATCTGTGTTCTGATCCTAGCAACCCTTCTTGAGGTGGTCAGGTCATGCTCACGCTCACCCTGGGCATTTGCATGTACCGCCTCCCCTCCTGTCTGGGTCTGCTCCAGTTCTCCTCCCCCTCCAGCTCACCTCCACATAACTATACTTCAAGCTTTTTGGAATGGTATCAGGTGCCCTGCCCAGTGCTCCTCCACACCCCTTTGTCAGCCTCTGAGCCTGTCCCAAGTACCTGCTTGTTTTTTTTTAAGAGAGAGTGAGAGAGGAGAGAGAGAGAATTTTTAATATTTATTTTTTAGTTCTCGGCAGACACAATATCTTTGTTGGTATGTGGTGCTGAGGATCGAACCCGGGCCGCACGCATGCCAGGCGAGCGCGCTACCGCTTGAGCCACATCCCCAGCCCCCAAGTACCTGCTTGTTGATCCTTCCCTCCCAAGCACCTCCTAGGTCATGGATAGGAATTATTCTTTTTTACCATTACCACCGTAATGTACAAGTGCCCTGTACAAGGCACTTAAGTATATTTTGAATGATTGAGTAATAACATTTTAGACTGATGTAGGTTCTGCCTTCACATAGCAGGCTAGTGGGTTGATTCTGACATTGGAGTTACAGTGACAGTGGTATAGTAACTTTTGGTTAGCTGTAATAATTCAATGAATGTATCTGTGATTTCACAATGACTTTCTGGGGAAGTTAATGTTTTACTCATTGTTACATTAAAGTCTCCTATTTAAAATCGCATTCTCAAAGCCTAAAGTTTATGCTAGACTATACATTATTAATATAATATGAAACTTTCTTTTTCTAAACAGTTAAGTCATTCAGTTGTCTGAGGCCTGTGAAGTTTACCATAGAGTGGACCTTGAAGTATCATACCTGTCACAACGAGTACCCTGAGCTGGAAGTAAGTAAAGCACAGTCTTGGTGTGAGCAAAGCTGTGAGGGGCCACCTCTTCCTCTGCAGGTGGCCCACATACTCCCTGGAATGTGTCTCTACTTTCCTAAGTAAGCCTTGCATCTCTGAAAAAAAGCTACAAAAGAAAAATTTTAAGTATAAAATTTATTAGCTTATCAGGAGGAGGCTAGAAAAGGAGATTGTAATTTTAGAAGTGCCCCAGGTTAATGTTGGGACTTAAGCAACAAGTCGGAAGTGTATGTATTCTGAGAGGACTATATGCCTTATGGTTGCCTTGTCTCTTATCAAAAATGTCAGTAAATGTTGAAGGTAGGCTTGTAGGGGCCATGGATAGAGGGACTGTGGGTTTCACACAAGTGAAAATCAACTGACACTTGAGAGAAATTTTAAGTTTTACTTCTTTTAAAATACTAGCTTTAGGGAACCTAGAACTTTGTGAGAACAAGTAGGTTCAGTGAGTTCAAGTCTATCTCAGAGAAGGGTGAGGAGGAGAAGGAAACATGGGAAGATGGGAGGGAGCGAGGGAGAGGGAGGAAGAGGCCACACTCAGGAAGGCATCCGTGCCAGGTTCTTCCCGCCTGAGGGCCCAGGACTCTGGTGTCTCCCTGACGGATGGGTCCTAGGTGGCTCTCTTGATGGTCACCTGGAATCATTTCATTTTAGCTTCATTTTCATTTTCACTTTCTCCAATATCTGTATCATGAACAATGCTTGTGTTCCCATATTTTATTTGTATTCTCTTTTCATTCAGAATAAATGTCCCTTTCCTTGAATACTGCCTTTTTTACTTTATCTCCCAGTTTTTTATCCCTTCACACTAAACTCTTCAATATATTTCTTAGGAACAGGTATTCACGTAGATTACACAGTATAATTATTTAATTTGGGAAATTTAACATGGATGTGGTGCCACCTGATGTGTTATTAGACCTTGCTTGCACTTCCCCTGTGTCCCAGTTGTGTCTTTGTGGTTTGGGGAGAAGCGGGAAAGGGCCATGTCCAGCATTACAGCCCATCATCCTTCCTTGTTTTTGTTTTTCGTTGCTGATAATCTTAATGACATTTTATTTTTGAAGCGTGTGAACACATTTATTTTTACAAAATACCCCTTAGTTTGTGTATTTCTGATACTACCTTATCAGATTCAGATTATTTACTTTTGGCCAGAATGCCACAGAATCCTGCTTTGTCCAATTTTGGTGATGTTATTTGGTCAGTTAAGGAGGCATCTGCCAGCCTTCTTCAGTATAAAGTTACTACTTTTCTCTTTGTTATTAGCAATAATTTGTAGGGACACTTTTTTCCTTTGGTATTGGGGTGCTTTACCACTGAGCTACATTCCCAGCACTTTTCAAATTTGATTTTGACACAGGGTCTCTCCAAGTTGCTCAGGCTGTCTTCAAACTTTGCAGTCCTCTGGTCTTAGCCTCATGAGTTGCTGGAATTATAGGCGTGTACCAGTATGCCTGATTTGGAAAGTGATTTTGACACTGTAAATACCCTGTCTTTTCATCAAACAGTCGTCATTTACTTTAGCATTCTTTTTACTTGCCTGTCAATAACCCAGTCATCAGAACATACATAATAATTTTCTTTTGTTATATAGGTTATAATCTGTTACTACTTTTTAAAAATTTATTTTCTCAAATTGGCCTATATTTGGTCTGTGAGAACCTTTTTTTTTGTACTGGTGTTTGAACCCTGGAGCACTTTACCACTGAGCTATATCCCCAGCCCTTTTGTATTTTTTTCAGTTTGAGACAGGTTCTTGATAAGTTGCTAACGGGCTCACTGAATTGGTGAGGCTGGCCTCAAACTCTGGATGCATCTGCCTCAAGCTCTGTTATTTTAGACGTGCACCATGTGCCAGATGAAAACCAGCATTCTCAGTGGCTGAGCGCTGCCATCAGGAGCTTGGCTTATGCCTTTGTTCAGGATGCAGGGAACCTCAGGCTGTTGACTTGTAAGCATCTCCTCTCTGTTCAGTTGGGTTATACCTTTGCTTTGGGTGGCTGTTTGTTTTACCTTTCTTTGTAATTTAGTGCTATTTTCTTTGTAAAATCTCTTATACATAGGATAAGGTAGAAGTTGGCCAAGGACAAATTATGCTCTAGTTTCCTATGAACGATTTCTTTGTGGTGGCATCCTGATCAGTCATTTTCATACAGCAAGATTATGATTATGCAATGAATTCCATCAGTATGTCCAACTACAGTGTGCCAATAAAAATGGGAAAAAATCGATTGTAGTTCTGTGCAGTGGCATGCACCTGTAATCCCAGCTATTTAGGAGGTGAACACAGGGGGATTAAAAGTTCAAGACCAGCTTGGACAATATTGCAATATTTATTTTCTATCTGAAAATAAAATAAAAAGGCTGGAGCTCAATAGTAGAGCACTCATTTTCAAGGCCATATGTAACCTATTTATGTAGGTATGTGATGGGATACCCATCACATACCTACATAAATAGGTTACATATTATTGTGTCTGAATACATTGGGATGGCTAAAATGTTGTGTGTAACCTCACTTGTACTTAGAATTATGTTCAAAACTTTATCTCTTGCTTTTTTTTTTCCTGCATATTTCCAAGTCTTCCAAACTAAATAAACTCTTGGTATTATTTATATATTAAGTGTTAATTATCTTCTAGGAAAAGAAGCATTGAAATAAATTATAACATAGAATTTTACCTTGGGTAGGAGATGTCCCAAAAACATGAACTTGAAGAAGACTTTTGTGCTTATTTGAAGAACATCAACTGCTGGACAACAAAAAATGAAAACTTAGATTGCAACAGTGATTTACAGGTGTTTCCCTCATTGAACGTGAGTAACAGCTGTGTTAAACAGACTTAGATTGCAACAATGATTTACAGGTGTTTCCCTCATTGAACTTGAATATCAGCTGTGTTAAAGCTGAGTCTGTTTTATTTGTAGTAAACAGTTTTGTCAGTAGTAAAGTTCTGTCAGTATCTTGATGGAGGAACTTGATTCTAGTTTTAGACGTTCTGTGTGTAGTAGTGTTACGTGGAAAGATCCTGTTCCTTTCTCTGTAGCCCTTTGTAGCAACAGCCTTGCAGAGCCTTTTATGATCCGCTGGATTCAATTTACCTCCCATTTGTTCTTACTGTCATCAGTCCTTTGCCCCTGTCCTTCCATGGGATGAGCCCTCATCAAGGTCACCAGTGACCTCTGTGCTGTTAAATCAGTGATCCGTCATGGCCTGTCAGCAGCACTTCACACGGAGGCACCCTCCTCTTCACATCCCCTCTCCTGTGGGGCATTAGAGGGCAAATGTTAATAGTAGTCTTCATGGATCAGGAGGTTATGGGGTAATTTTGTTCTGAAAATCCTAAAATGAAGATGTGTCTTTAGTAAATCTTTGAAGAAGAGTTCTTTTTAAAATGTGTGCAAGAGTATAAACAGAGAAAAGTTCACATAAGGACATGTGGATGAATTTTCAAAACTGAATACACCTTTATACTCCCAGATCAAGAACAGAATATTTTAGTACCCAGAACCTGCTTTTATTTTGTGTAGGTTATATGTAAACACCATGCTATTTTATATGAGGGATATACAGATTTGTGGATTTGGTATCCACTGGGTGGGTAGTGAGGTCCTGAACCAGTACCCCCAACAATAACCACTATCCAGCAGTAACCACACTGTGAAGAAAGTGTTTGTAAAAAGCAGAATTTTGTTATTTTCAGAGGATGTTCTCCAATGTTTGGTTTTCAAATCTTTATTCTAAAATATTTTTCTTACTTCCTAAAATTACTTTTACCCATTGACGTGCAACAATATATAATGGGGTTATTTTACTTTTTTCCCCTTTTTCCAGAATAAAGAACTAACAGGTATCAGAAATGCTTCAAATCAGGAAGGATCGATGGTAAACCATTTTATTTGTCTTTAAATCAAATGTGCAAAACTTATAATAAGATTGAGAAAAAAAGACAGTAAACAGATAGTTAGAGATCGGTGTTATGAAAATCAGAAAGAAAAGCATCTGTATAAATTGGCATATGCTGTTTCTGTCTTTGTTTAAAGATCTCTTTACAGTTGTGATTTAAGATTAACTTCTCTGCAGCCTTTCTTTTCTTGAAGAGTAGAATCCCCCTTCTCAATGTGTAAGAGAGCATAGCAGGGGACTGCTGTCCTCATTAAGGACACACAGACAGGAACCACGGACGGACGTGAGGGCTGGGCGAGTGGCTCAGTGGTGGAGAGCTCAGCTGTTGATCCCAGGAGGGAGGGAGAGGAGGAGAGACTGTGGGGGGAGTCAGGCAGTGTGGGTATTTTGGGGTGGCCAGGATACTACACAAACCGCCTTGTGTGGAGAAGAAAAGGAATAGGAGATGCTCAGGAGTGGCATGTGTGGGATTGTGTGCAGCCATAGGGAGGTTCCTAATGAGTACAGTGGGCAGTGTTGTTCCTTAGCAGGCTGCTGACCTCGGAATCCTTTAGTCTACATGTGGTTGGTCCTCACATCAACTGCAGATCAAAAAATATTTGTAAAAATGAATTTTGTACTGAATATATAGAGTTGTTTTTTTTTTGTCATTTTCCCCTAAACAATACATTAGAACTATTTGCATAGCGTTTACATTTCATTAGGCATTATAAATCATATAGAGATGATTTTTAAGCATGCAGGAAGATGTGTGTAGGTTATATGCAAACACCATGCCATTTTATATAAGGGCTATATGGACCCATGGATTTTTGTGTCCCTTGGTTGTGAGGTCCCCTGTAAGGGGCCACAATACTCAGTCTGACTCCTTTCAGACAATGTTATCTGACTTCCTTTCTTCCTCAATTCAGTGTTTAAAGAACACATTTAATTCAAACAATGCTTGATGATATTAGAGTAAAATATGAGAAGTTATATTAAGAAAAAATATTCATGTAATATTAAATAAACAGATCAAATTATTTTATTTTATTTTATTTTTTTGGTACTGGGAATTGAACTCGGGGGCCCTCCACTACTGAGCCACATCCCCAGCCCTATTTTATTTAGAGACAGGGTCTCACTGAGTTGCTTAGTGCCTCACTTTTGCTGAGGCTGGCTTTGAATCCTGTCTCAGCTTCCCAAACAGCCAGGATGACAGGCGTGCACCACCACACCTGGCAACAGATCATAATTTAAGGGGAGCCTATAGAAATAAGAGGTAGAGTAGGTTGAAGAGTGAGAAAAGCCTTTTTTTTTTTCCTCTGCCCCTTTTGAGTCTGGGAAGATCATGGTTTAAAAAAAAAAAGGGAGCAATATTTGTCCTTTGCTGCCTACCCCTCCTTTTTGCTGTTTTATCTGTTTGTGTTTTTTAAAAAGTGAACCAACTTAGTTACCAGGAACTCTTGTAACGTATGGTGAACAACTGTTCAACTCTGTCTTACACAGTAGCTTGTTAAGAGTAACCTCAAGGATTTTTTCCCCCATTTCAGGATATTGTAGCCAGAACACAGAGAGATGGGTTTCACATCTTTATTGTTTCTATTAAAACGGAAAAAACAGACGCCAGCTGGAATTTGAATGGTAAATTACACTACATACATGTTTCTTTACTGTCTGCGTTTTCTGTATTCTTCATCATCACTGATCTGAATCTACATTCTCCGTTAAAAATCTCTTTAAGAATTGGGTCTGTTAAGCATGCATTTTGAGGATTTAAAATTTCGTACTTAATGTACCTTTTTTTTAATGGATTGAAAATTTTATTGTTAACCAAAGACACTTTTTTAAAAAACATTTAGTTGTAGATGGACATAATACCTTTGTTTTATTTATTTATGTGGTGCTTAGGATTCAACCCAGTGCTCTACACATGTGAGGCAAACACCCTACAATTGAGCCATAACCCCAGCCCAGGAAATAACTTTTTATAAAATGAATTTTTCTTTAATTGACAAATAATTGTATATATTTCAGGGGTTTTTTTGTTTGTTTTTTGGTGCTAGGGGTTGAACTCAGGTATGCTCCACCACTGAGCCACATCCCCATATCCTTTTTTTATGTTTTATTTAGAGACAGGGTCTTGCTGAGTTGCTTAGGACCTTGTTAGGTTGCTGAGGCTGGCTTTGAACTCACGATCTCCCTGGGATCCCTCCCAAGCCACTGGAATTACAGGCATGCACCACTATGTCCAGCTATTTCAGATAAACTTAAGAAATTTCAAACTTCAAAGAGCAATATAAATTTTTCCATCCTGTCAAATCAAAAAAATCTTAACATATGGAAATGGGTATGCAACTTTTAACAGTTGTCATCAGGGATTTTAAATGATTGTTATTTGAAAAATGTATTTTAAAGGATCCGTTTTCTGGGGGTGGTGGCACACACTCTAATCCTACTAACATGAGAGGCCAAGGCAGGAGGATTGTGGGTTCAAACACAGCCTGGGTAACTTAGTGAGACCTGTGTCAAAAAATAACAAGGGCTGGGGATATAGCTCAGTGGTGGAGCACTTCCCTAGAGTGCATGAGGCCCTGGGTTTGATCCCCAGTACTGCCCAAAAATAAATGTATCTCTAGAGAGGCTCTGTCTGCAGCCTAAGAGTGAAAGTAGCCTGACAGCTGTGGCTTCTACAATCTGTGACACCCGCCTTTGCCCCGACCCTGAGTGCCTCTTAAAGCTCTAGTTCCCTGGTGCCCCATGAGAGCAGGCTCACAGTAAACTGTTTTCTAGGGAGTGGACAGTAAACTGTTTTCTAGGGAGTGGACAGTAAACTGTTTTCTAGGGAGTGGAATGACCTTGGCTAATGTTCTCCAGAGTGGGTGTCTGCTGGATCACAATGGTAGCTAATAGCCTGTGGCAGCCCTGGGCACATTACTCTGATTCTGCCACTGGGGACCTGGAAGGGCTTATTCCAGTGGGGAGAGAGGAGCAGGTGAAGTCAGTGAAGCAAAGTGTCCACCAGCACTGAGGAGGCACTCACCCAGAGGCTGGAGCAGTGGCTTCCTGATGGGGACCGCATCCTGGGCAGATAGTCCAGACAGAAGGAGCAGGGACCTTGACCCTGCCCTGCACCCCAGCTACAATAGAATACCCAACGTTGGATGATTCACAAAAAGTAATAGTGGTTCCTTTCCTCATAGTCTCGGAGGCTGGGAAGTCTCAGATCAAGGCCGTAGTAGGTTTGGTGCCTGGTGAGGGTCTACATCTGCATGTAGGGTGGCATCTTGCTCTGCCCTCATCTGGCAGGAGGGAGTGAATGCCTCCTCCTCTCCTGGAGGGGGCAGAACAGCTAGAGGAGCCTCACCTGTTCCCTCCAACCCTTTTCCAAGGTGTCAATCCATTGAGTCATGCCCGCCCTCTTCTTTTTTGGTGCTGGAGATGGATTCCAGGGCCTTGCGGCTGAACTGCACCTCAGCTCACCACCCCGCTTCTTAGTGTCCCAACAGGGGGGAGTAGGTTTCAGCACATGGATTTTGGGGGGCATTAACACACCAGCCCTTCGCCCCTTTCCCAGGTGTTGTCCCTTTTCCCTGACACCATGGGCAGCATCGAGTCCCTGAAGGCTAGGAGCTGGAATCCTGCCTGGCCCTGGGTCCTGCACTGTACACCGCATGCTGCTCATCTCCTCAGGCAGAACCCAGCCCAGGCGCTTGAGCTCAGCAGCTTATGCCACATTGTATGAAGGGAGGGGTCCTCAGTGAGTTCAGCCATCATGACGGGGCCAGTGGCAGGTCTGGTTTGTAACTAGTACTACTTTGCTTTCTGTATAGGATCAGTTTTAGTTCAAGTTAAAGGTATTTTGCTTGATAAGATTACATAATCAAATAGTTACTAATTATCCATACATCCAACGTATGAGAAGGTAAAAATTGAGCATTTGTTGGCATGGTTTGTGTTTTTGAAGCCTTTTTGGAAGTGATCTTTGTTTGTTTGTTTGTTTTTGGCACTGGAGATTGAACTCAGGGGAACTCGACCACTGAGCCACATCCCCAGTCCTATTTTGTATTTTACTTAAGAGACAGGGTTTCACTGAGTTGCTAAGTGCCTCACTTTTGCTGAGGCTAGCTTTGAACTCACAATCCTCCTGCCTCAGCCTCTCCAGACACTGGGATTACAGGAGTACGCAGCTTCACCCAGCTATTTTTATTTATTTATTTATTATAATTGGTGCGTGATTATATTTTAAGACTTAAGATTGTTAACTAATTTTTAAATTTCTTCTTCTCTGATCCTATTGTTACTAGTTTCTCTTTCAATGATGGGGCCTCATGGATATATCTCTGCATCAGATTGGCCTCTGATGATTGTAAGTATTTCTCTCTTTGTTTTTTCCTTTTGAAAAATGAATTTTGTGTCCTAATTGGGAAGTAAAAATTTTAAGAGTGTAAGGGTACTATCATTGGTAGCTAATGCTTTTGTTTTGTTTTGTTTTTGTTTTTGTTTTTGGTGCTGGGGATTGAACCCAGGACCTTGTGCATGTGAGGCAAGCACTCTACCACTGAGCTCTATCCCCAGCCCTGGTAGCTAATGCTTTGACATATCCTCTATTTCTGGTTCCAAAGTGACTGGAAAGTAAAGGATTGAATATTCAAATGTAGAAACGTCAACTTCCAAGTGGTTAGAAGCTATAACTGACTAAAATTGCTTTTCTTTCTACAGTTTTACATGGTGATGTGTATTGTTTATATATTATATGGTATACTCTGGCTGACGTGGTCTGCCTGTTACTGGAAAGATATATTAAGAATTCAGTTCTGGATTGCAGCTGTAATTTTCCTAGGAATGCTTGAAAAAGCAGTTTTTTATTCGGAATACCAAAACATCAACAGCACCGGACTATCAAGTAAGTATTGAGGGTCTCCATACCTATAGTCCTGCCTAGGAGTTGCCCAGCATCTGGGAGCAGAGCCTGGAAGGTGCTCCTTCCTGCAGGGGTTGGGAGGAGCCCTGTTGTAGATGAGGAGGAGGGAAGCCAAGAAGAGGCAGTTGCTGTGGGTCCCTGATCTGGGTGGGCATGCCTCTTCGTTTTCTGTTTTCCTTCTTGATAGCTTTCCCTCCTGGAAAAAAGAAGATTCACTTATTCCCTTTCTCTAAGGTTCAGCTTAGATTAAAACAACACAAAGTTCTGGACAGGAGGATTGAGAAGAGGCTGGTCCTTTTAAAATAGCCCCTTTTCCCATCCATCTTCTTTTCCCTTTTCTAAAAAAGAACAAAGGACACGTGACCACAGGGAATAAAGTCAGTGACATCAAGGTGGACAATGCCTGGACCTTGCTGTGTCCTTTCCCACTTCTTCACTCCTGCGGGAGTGGCACCATCACTGTGTACACAGTGGGACGTATGAGGCAGGGATGGCGTGTGCTAGGCCTCCCTAGGTGGCCTCCACAAGGCCAGGGAAATAGAGGCTCGGTTCCCCCACTGAAGCTGTGGAAAGGGGAAAGAGCTCAGGATGGTTGGATGTACTCCAAAATGTACTTCTTTTTTTGTTTATTTGTTTTGTTTTGTAATTGTAGACAGAATGCCTTTATTTTATTTGTTTTATTTTTATGTGGTGCTAAGGATTGAATCCAGTGCCTCACACATGCTAGGCAAGTACTCTGCCTCTGAACTACAGCCCCAGCCCTGAAATGTACTTCTTTGTGACAGTTATAAGTGATCCTGGTACAGAGTTTCATGGACATCATTGTCTGCTGTTTATTTAAAAAATACTCCAGGAGAAAAAAACAGATGAAACATTTGTGATAACATCGATAATTACTGAAGCCGAGCTGGGGTTCATGGGAATTCACTCTACTGGTTTTTCCCTTTGGGGAATATGTGAAATTTGCCAAAATACGGCATTTAAAAGGGTTATGGAAGAGAATAAAGAAAGGCCAAGCGTGCAGGGGTGCCTGGTGGGGGAATTGCTGCTGTAGAAGCATTTGTGGTATGGTGTGGTGTGGTGTGCACACGTGCATGCTCTAGCTCAGGATGAGGGACCGGTGGGTCTGCTGCTTACGGTGAAGCATTGCAGACTGCCAGAGAGAGCAGGTCAGTTGTGGTCATGCAGAGCTGAGAGTGTAAAGGGTGGCCTGAACCTGGGTGAGAGCAGCGGAGGATGGAGGTCCATGAAGAGATGAGAGGTCATTCACCATCCTCAGGAATGCCAGGTCCTCCTGTGATTTTGCACCAGAAGGCTTGGAAGAGAAACCCTGTGCTGCCGTTCAGTGATATCAATGTTATCACAAATGTTTCATCTGTTGTTTTTTTTCAGCATAGCAGAGGTGCCTGGAAATTAGGCATGGGCTGGTGTCCCTTCTGATGTTCCCAAGAGGGGATTCTGTAAGGTGAACTGTCTTGCTCAGCATTGTTGAAAAGCCACTAACAGGGTGGGAAGCAGTGGTTGTCAGGGCCCCTGAAAATAGGTTTTGTCAGGCTGATTTCTATCTGGTGAGCAGCTGGACTGGCAGCTGAGAAAATGTAATAAACTTAAGATAGCTAGGTTTTCCCAATGTATTTGTGGGGTCTCTTGTGATTTCTTACAGACAAGATAGGAATATGAACTAAAACTGGTTATCAGAAGAGGTCATGCAGTCAGTCTTGTCCATTCTATTCAATTCTTTTCAGTTTTGTCACATTCTATTCAGTTTTGTGGATGAGAGCCTGGCAGGAGAATAAATACTTAAGAGGCCTAGAGAGTCATTTTAAGTAGACCCTTTTCACCTGAAGATATATGATGGGACACAAAGAGACATGACATCCTAAACAGGGAAGTGGAATTTAATGGGTAAGATTTAAACTTGGGGTTGGAGTGCAGATTGCAGAAATATGGATGGCAAAGTTTTTAGAAGGATTTGAAGGTTGAGGCTGACGCAAAACAAACTCAGCATAGGCAGTTGAGAGGGCGGTTGCCTCCCACAAGCTCCTGCGGCCCTAGAGTGGCATAGGAGCAGTCGCTGGGGCGGAACTGAGTACCTGCTGCAGGTCAGGCTGTTCCAGGAAGGTGTATCTGCGCTGCTTCGGAAGGGGCAGACGGTTCCGATGGAGTAGCAGGGGATTTGAGAGCACACCTATCTTCCAACCTTTGTGTCTAACCCCTTCCTCACATTCTGGCCTCTCCTGGAGGCCTCCTTTCTGGTTTCTTGTAAAGGTGTGTCTTCTGTCAGGATCTCTGTCCCCAATATACAGACCTGCGTGTCACCTACCAACCCCTGAGGGCCTTACCAGCTTGCTAGCCTCTGTGTGCAGAAATGACATTCATCCTTTCTGCCTGTGAACCTGCCTTGTCTAATCCCAAGCTCACTGCCCGTCCAGGCTTTTCTCCTGCTGCTGCTAGACCTCGGCCGCCTCCTTGCCTTCTTCCTTGCCCTCCAGTTCCCTGCCTATCTGAGATGTTGGAAAGGCTCTTTTTGGGCTTCGTGCAGAACAGAGCTGAAAACACCATGAGAGGAAATGTCCGGGGCCTTGTTACTGGCCTTGAGCCCCAGCTGCTCTCTGAACATTTGCCTACTTCTCTCCATCTTTGCTGCCAGGACTCGCCCTCTCCTGCTGAGGTTTCAGGATTGACCAGTCGAGTGTTTTTCTTGCCCTCAGCCTCTGCCCCCCCACCCCAGCCCCTGACCCCCACCCCCGACCCTGTTGTGGGCCGAGCATCTTGGGAGGCCAAGCTGTCCCTTTTGTTGCAGTAGTCTGCCGATGTTTTCTGAGTGGCCAAATGAGTACATTGCCTTGGCTCTGCAGCCTGTGTCTGTTCTGACTTCTCAGTTCTGCTGTGGAGGATCAGGCCGCCGCAGAAGACACACAGGCATGGGGCACGGCTTTTCAGTAGAACTTTACCAAAACAGAAACAAGGCTGGCTTTGCCCCTCTTACTCTCGGGTCCACTCGCCATTACTGACTTCCCACTGCACAAGCCCAGACTCCATAACAGGGCAAAGACCTGCGTGAGAGGTCGTGCTTTGTCGCCAGGCTCTTTTCCCAGCATCCACATTCCACGCCTGCTGTCAGCATGCCTATGTGCTAGCTTCTCCTCCTCCCTCCAGCTCGCCTGGTGCATGCCATTATCTCTGGGTCACCCTTTCTTTTCCCACCTACTTATGCTTAGCCTTAAAGTCCTATTGTGGATCAGGTTGGGCTTCCTCCAGTCCCAGGGTTACTGTGTCACGTCCACCATGCAGGAAATAGGGTGAATTCTGTTTACTTGGGCAGAGTACAGGTCCCATGCAGGTGGGGATCAAGGTTTCTGTTCTGTTATAGCCATCCAGTGGGAGCATAACATGCGTATGTGCATGCACGCGTGTGTATGTGATGCTGGAGTTCAAACCCAGGGCCTCAACACACTGGCCAAGTGCTGGACTCCTAACAGATGGGTTTTACATAAATAAGTGATGAAGGCATCCTGAGAAAGAATTCTGGTGGGTGTTATGACTTTCAGGTAGTCACAGGACAGGAAGAGGGAGAGTTGTGGTAACCTCCAGGGGAACTGAGGATGCTCAGGAGACAGGCATTGGGTGACAGAAGAGCACTGCCAGCAGAGCTGAGCACATTTGGAGCGAATTCTTCAGGAGACTATGTGGCTTCTCCATCCCTGAGGTTTCAAACATCAGTTGGCTTGGAGAAGAACTTTTAAAGAAAATCTGGCTAATTGTTCTGAGTTCAGACTGTAGTTGTCCATAGCACACATCTAACATCTTGGGTGGAAGGCCTTCAAGGTACACACAGTGAAATACTTTCTTTTTTCCCCCTCAGCCCAAGGCTTATTGATATTCGCCGAGTTGATATCTGCAGTTAAGAGGACGTTGGCCCGCCTCCTGGTGATCATTGTGAGCTTGGGCTATGGTATTGTGAAGTAAGTAGTGGGACATGGGAAACATACCCTGTCTCTTACCTAGTACACATTATGATCTTGGTGGAACTGGAACCTTCTCTGTATCATTATGCAAATCTCCAAGGGGAAAATCCGCAAGAAAATGGTTTTAAGAAACTTCCCGGACTGGGGCTGTAGCTTAGTGATAGAACATTTGCCTAGCATACGTAGGATCCTAGGTCCCATCCTCGGCCAAAAAAAGTAAAAAGATTCCCATGTACTAGTTATTTTATGTTATTTTCAAATAAGTATTCTGAATTTGAATTTTAATAACTTTATAGTAGGTTAACAAAGTGTTAACTTGAAGGATGATGGAAAATCTAAAATGATTCTTGAAGTTCAAGCCATTTTGTTTTCTAGCCAGTACAGGAAAGCTTTTAAAATCACATTTGAGTGTTATAGAGTTGATTAGACACCGTGTCAGCAGGATTTCTAATGATCCTGACCATTCCCTGAGGACCTCGCTAGCCTGGAGCCACCAGCAGGCCTTTCCTCTCACGTCTGTAACTCCCTGGGCAGAGTCGGGAGAACTCGTCCTCTTTATTCTCACTGCTGTTTTCAGACCATTGTTCTCCCTGCCTTCCTAAATTCTCTTACTCCCAGAAGCTCACGCCTTCAGATGGTCCCCTGGGTCCCTGCTGCATCTTCTCAAGGTGCTCTGTGGGCTGCCAGACTCCTGCCCTTCATCTTCCTCCCCAGCGCCTCCCCTGCTGGAGTTTCCTGTGCTTCCTGGTCCTGGGCAGATGGGCTCACGCCCACCTCTCCTGCCCTTGGCTTCAGCTCCTCCCACAGCTGGTCCCCGTGGTCTTTTTCTAAACTTCACTGTCATGGTTAAGCGCACCCTCTTCATAGTTTTAATTTTGAACATACCTTTTCAACTGCCGTCTCCTCTTTCCTGTCTCTCATAAATTGGCTTCTGATCTTTCTGTCCCCAGTGTGCCCTCTGACCTTTGGGCCCTAGCACCTTCAGTGTCCCTTTCCCTGTGTGTCCTCACTTGGCTTCTTTGGCTTAGCTTCCTTGGTCCTGCAGGGTTCTTGCCCCTGCTGCTGCCCTTTCTCTTGGTTGGCCTTCTCGACAGCAGCCCAGTCCAGCCGGGTAAGTCCAGTTTTGTGACTGTGTCAGGCTCACCCCTGCATAGGGACATCTGCCTGGGACGGCACTGGACTTCACTGCCCTGTGCACTTGAGCTACTGCTGGGGTCTCTCCTAGACCCCGTTGCAGAGCAGCTTCACCCCTCTTCTCAAGTTTCCACCTTCGCCCACCCCCTCACAGCTGCCCCTGGCTCTCTCCTAGCTGAGAGTCTTCTGCACTGTGGTTCTCAGGTCCTGGCTTGCTGGGACACCCACTACACGCGCCTCTCTTGGCCGTGCACACATCTCTGCCCTGTGCCCCTGCAGTAGTTCCAGTTTCCCTGTCTTGATTTTCCTCCCCGGTTGATCGCTCTGTTTCTACCATTTTTAAAAGCAAGGTCCCCAAATCCCCCCATGGCCCTCCCTGCTCCTACCTCACTTCTCGTCACCATGTGTGGTGCGACTTCTCCTTTGAGCATCCTGCACTTGTCACCCCAACTTCCCGTGTAATCTTGACATCCCCAGGGGAGGTTCTGCCCCCACTGATCCACTGAGACCCCTCTTGTCAAGTCACCATGACATCCCCTTGCCTGTCCACATGGCCCTGCTTAGGCTGGTCAGGGGTCCAGCTGTTAGCTTCTGTTCGAGCCCTGGCTTCGCTCAGTTTGCAGAGTGCCTCGAGAGTTCTGTCCTCAGTCGCTGGCTGTTCCTTCCTCGGCTCCCTTGCTGAGTCCCAGCCTTGGAGTGCCCACATTGGGCTTCCTACTCCGACTCCGCTCGATTTGCCTTGGTCGGCCTCTTGACAAAATCCCAGCCTTGACAGGTCCAGCTTTACCACTGCACCAGGCTCCAGTGCTTCCTCCCCATCCAGACCTGTGCTCCTCCACCATCTCCCAGGACTCCAGTAGTGCATGCTGGGTGGCCCCCGGCCCTTCATCTTTTTTGTAAAGCCACCTATTATGGCCATTAGTATTTATTGCCTGTCCCCCTACACTCAAGTGTGAGTCCCGGGGGCAGGAGCCTTGCTGGTCTTGGGTCTTTGGCTCTGAGCCCCAGTGCAGTCCTTAGCACGTGCTCAGTAACCTGCACCGAATGCCTGCTTGTGCATGTGAGCTTGGGTTTCAGGGAGTTGAAAAGGCTGTAGGCAGGAGGCCTTTTTTTTCACCGGTGTCATTGAGATTCCTTCTCAAATGCTCTGTGTGGCCTGTACGGTAGATAGCATAGACCCCGTGGCCAGGGTCCGGCCCTGCAGTGCAGGTCTGGTTGTGAGCTTCAGCACCAGCAGTGTGTTGGAGCTTGGGTGAGGCAGGGCACAGGCCCTTGCTGAATAGCCCTCCACTGCTGGCTTCTCCTGTTGGACTCTCCACTCTGGTTTTCTGGTTATAACTAGAAGATTCACTAAACTAGGTAAATAATTTTAAAGATTAATTATGGACTTTAATCTTTATTTAGATTTTATTTCAAAATGACTGCCTTATTTTTTTCAAAATCAGGTTTTATTCTGGTAGATTCAGAAAAGGGTTTTTTGTATTCTAAATGTATGTGCTGCAGTCAATTCTGACTTAAAAATGTCATGAAATGTTTTTTATTTTCATATTATTGATTATAAAAAACACTACCTTTGCATTTCTCTAGTTCATTTGTGTTTTACAAGTCAGAAATGTTATTTTTAATTTCTCAGTTTAAAGGATGAAGCTAGATTCTGTTAGTGCTCCTGTTCCAAGTGGCACAGGCAGAGATCAGAGGAAAGCCCTGGAGTCCATCTGTCCTCCAAGTCAGAAGAGCAGTGAGTGGCCTCCAGGCAGACCTTTCTCACAACAGTTTGTAGTAGGGGTCCTGCCAGTGGCCATTGGAAGTGGTCACTTAGCTTCTCAGTTTCCACAGCCTTCTGGTCCACTTGCAGAAACAGTATCCGATTGTGGTCATTGTGTTGCTTGAAGTTGAGCAGAGTCCTCTGGCACTCTGCTGTCCTCCAGCTGTGCTTCCCTGGCCTGTGCAGCTTCAGGTCCTACAGGAAGGGACCGATAGGAAGACCACTGCATCCTGGGACAGTGCCTCCCAGGCTGGGGCAGACTGAGCTGCTTAGAGAGAGGTGCCCTTCCCGTGTGCCATGTTCTCAACAGCCTTCCCTTCCTCTGTCTCCCTTGGCTGTAGGCCACGTCTAGGAACCGTCATGCACCGAGTGATTGGACTGGGACTGCTCTACTTCATCTTTGCTGCTCTGGAGGGTGTGATGAGAGTCATTGGGGTAAGAACTGCATGATTCCCACCACCCTTTTTATTCTTTTTAATACTTATTTTGTTTTTTCAGTGGACACAATAGTTTTTTTGTTTTTTGTTTTTAATTTTGTTATTTTTATGTGGTGCTGAGGATCAAACCCAGGGCCTCGAATGTGCTAGGCAAGTGCTCTACTGCTGAGCCACAACCCCAGCCCTCCCACCAACCCTTTATTATTGTTTCTGTGAAACGTATTTTAGCTCCTGAGATGATTTTTTTTTTAAGATCCCAGAAATTTTTATTAAGAAAGACCCCAGCCTAGCTTTTTTCCCTGAGATATTTACCTTTTATGACATGATGTCCTTCCCAGAATCGGCTCCATCTCAGACTGTCCAGTGGTTCTTCATAAAGAACATTGTCTGTGCCATTTTCAATCTGCACACATTCATATCTTCCTTCATTCTGGATTTTAAGATGTGTCAACTGGACAAAGTCAGTGACACCCTCCAGGCATATCAGCATGACATCTCATCGCTTCCCTAAGTCTTATTGGTTTGAGATTTCTCTGTCTCTTGTGGCTATTTTGGGGGTTCAGCAGGCCCCATTGTTAGGCCCAGGAGGTACGTTGGGAACAGAGACTAGAGCGACGCGGGCAGCAGTGCTGCTGGTGAGGAAGGGGTGATGTCTTCATCTGTGAGGACCTCTCCATGTCCCGCTTTGGCTTTTCTTAATACTCGACTGGGCTGGGTGATTAAGGTGACTGTACCCTACCTTGTGATGCCACCCAGAGTGACCTTTAGGTTAGATGTGTGAATCAGATCATTGTGCATAGGGGGGGCCTGTGTGTGTCACCACAAAAGCTTCTCTCACATACTGAATCTGACCCCAAAGCAGGACATCTGTCCAGTGAATGTCAAAGCCTCATTTCTCTTCCTCTCATGTGCTACATCCATACCTGTTAAATACACCTGCTCTTTTTTTCTTTTAGTAGATTTATTTTTTCATAATAATAATGAACTCTGAATTTACATTTATATAATTCACATGAAATTTTTCTTTGCTAAAAAGAAAATAGAAAAGATACCTATTCCACATTTAAGTGGAGCACATAAATTGCATTTCTTTAACCTTCTACCTAACATTTTAGTGATTGTTTTAAATATGACTCGTCAGGGTGAAGCTCGGTTTGTGTTTGCCTCAGGTGCAGCCCTCCTTGTTTTACTTCCTGTGCCTCTTCACACAGTGGGGAGTCTGGTTCATTAGCAGTACTGGCCGGAGATTTGCTGAGAGGGAGGAGATTGGCAGCTTGGGACTCAGTGCTTTTTATTTGCTAGCCCATAATAGTTTTGCATTGCTATTATCAAGTGAGCTGGTGACCAGTTGACATTTGTTACTGCCAAACAGATCATTTTCACATGCTAAACACAGTTCTCTTAAGAGAGAAAAATTTTTATGTGACATCACACAGTGATAAAATAAACTGAATTGTTTTCCTTTATCAGATAATAATTGCTAAACTGTGATGAAACTTACATTCAGGCTTCCCTGTTTTTATCTTCCAGGGTTCTAACCACTTAGCTGTTGTCTTGGGTGACATTATTTTAGCAGTTATTGACTCCATTTTTGTGTGGTTCATATCCTTTACTGTGTCTTTCTAAAACAGTTTGTTGTATCATTAAAATCAGTTTACTTTTAATTCGTAATAATGATAGAATAAAATGTGGTTATGAATTATTGTTATCTTAGTATATAAGTTTAGTTGAAGGTGAAGAAGTAATAACTCCCCAGATAAGGACTGTCTTTGTATTTTCTGTTTAATTCCGCCAGGATTTAGATGCTTTGTGTGTACCTTGTACTGATGAGAAGAAGACTGTCCCTGCATCCCTAAAGAGGGGACAGATATATAACTAGCAGTAATACTGCAGTAGCAATTGCCTTTTTAGAGTGGTTAATATGAACAGAGGGAGGAGAAATTAATTCTGGCGTAAAACCAAGGAAGCCTTCACAGGAACGATAACACTGACTTTGAAACCGACAGGACAGGGGGCACTTATCAGGAGGACTGGGAAAGGCTTTCAAGAAGAAATGAGGGGAACAGATCGTAGGAAGAGAACAGTGGCAGACTGTCTGGGCAGCTTTCCTGCTGGGCACGTTTGTTGTGAATCGAACAGGTGGGACAGAGGAAGGACAGCACGGGGTGCAAGTCCCTCTAGCAGCTGCCGTGGAGAGCGGGAGAGTCACGACAAGTGGGTGGCATGATTTGGGAGTGCTGTGAGATGACCTGGAAGAGGAGACAGGAAGTCTGGTCAGGAGTCACTTGCAGGGCCCTCAAGACCTACTAAGGGTCAGAAAGATGTAAGTCCAGCAGTAGCGTTGCTAGAAATGGGTTCTCAAAGGTCTCAGGTGTATCCTTGGGGCTACTGGCGGCAGTGTGGCAGTTCTCGGGGTGGTGAAATTGGAGAATGAGCCAAAATGAAGGCGGTTTGGGCAGCCCAGGGTGTTCCTGGGAAGAGAGTTGGCGGTGCCAGCCCGGGCTGGACGCAGCTCTGAGGTGGAGTGCTGGGCCTGGTGTGCAGGAAGCCCTGGGTCCCACCCCGGCACTGCCAGATGTACAAATAAAAACATCACAGCTTCGATTTGCAGAGGGGTCGAGCTGGAGCCAAGGGTCAGATCAGAAGTCGTGTGGTGGGAAAAGGAGGCAGCTGTGACATCACCCAAGGAGAATAGGCGGCCCAGTGAAGTAAGGAACTGGGCTGGTGCCTCACTGCAGGGGAAGACGAGGCTGAAAGGGGGAGCAGAGCTGAGGGAGGTGGCAGGGCAGGAGACCACCCTGGGGAGATAGACCTGTGCTGTTGAGATTGCCGTGCCACGTGCAGGGCTGGGAAGGGCAGGCTTGGAGCAGGCTCTGGTGGAGGGGCTGCGGCATGTGGCAGTGGGGGCACTGTGGGGACAGTGGCAACTGGGTCCTGCAGGGACCTGAGTCATAGGTTAAGGGTGGAAATCCCTGTCTTTTTTTCCTCTGTGATGAGACTGGGGAAAATGGGAGGAATTCTAGAGAAAATGTGAGCTGCTCAGAGCAGAGTTGAGGTTGTGCGTACCCTGGACATGGTCTGTCTCTCCCACATTACATCCTTGTTGACACTGTCCTGGTCGATAGGTTTCATGTTTTACCATGTTCTTTTTGTTTCCACTCTGTAACACTTTCATCTTTCACCATTTAATTTTTTTTACTGTTTCCCTTGCATTCTTTTCATTTTCTCATCTGTTTCTCACAGGAAGGCCCAGAGGGCTTGAGCTTGCCTATGTCTCTTCCCTACAGGGAAGACCTCCTTCTCCCAGGTTTGCTGGCGGAGGGAGCCCTGCCCGTGGCTTCTCTGAGCCCCATGTAGGATGTTTTCTAAGCCTGGCCTGTCTATTCTTTAAAGTCCCTATTTGTGAACTCTAAGTGTTTTTGTAAACTTTCAAATTAAAAAAACAGTTATGTATTTGTGAACTTCCAAGTTGAAAAAACAAGTCTGGACTTAATTCATTATCCTTTCTCTTCAAAGCAGTGGTTCTTGACCTTCTTTGAGTACTGGATCAGAAATGGCTTTGGAAATACCATGAAAGCCGTACGAGCTCCCCCACAGAACACGCCCCACTCCAGGAGCCCTGCCCACAGGGGCTGTTGCAGATTCCTGAATTATACTCACAGGCCCTCTGAGGTGCCTCGTTAAGAAATAGCACCCTCTGGGCTTGGGGCATACTCCTGCTACTTGGGAGGCTGAGACAGGAGCACTGCAAGTTCCAGGCTACCCTGGGCACTTACTCGAGGCCCTGTCTCAGTATGTCTCAGGCCCTGCCAAAATGTGCTCATGGGTTCAACCCCCAGTACCAGGAGAAAGAAAACAGAAGTCCAGAAATTAGAATTGCCTTGATGAGAGGAAGGAAATCTAGTATCCATTTCTGCTGGATCCTGAACTTTTGAGGTTCGCCTTCAGATTGCTGTTGGCTAATTTCCACTATTAAAGCAGAAAGTCTGCTGTATGTATAAAACCAAAAACAGAACAGACCCCAGCGTATGTCCCCAATGATCACAGATGACAAATGAGAAGTAGGGCACGATAGATACAGAACTGAATGCTTCAACCAAAGACTTTGCTTCCTCTGAATCTGAGGAACTTACGTGGCTACTCATGTAAGAACTTGACCCTCAAGGAAGACAGGAGAGCCGCAACTCTCCTAAGCCCAGCTTTTCTCATGTGTGCTCCCACTTTCTCTGCTGTTGTGTTTTGCTGTTTTGCTGCAGGCGAGTGATTCTGACCTTGTCCTTCTGGCCAGCCTGCCTCTCTCCCTGCTCGACTCGGGCTTGTGCTGGTGGATATCCTTTCCTAGCACAAGCTGGGACCTCACTGGGGACAAGCCTGTTGCTCTTGCTGCTGCTTTCCTATCACGGGAGGAGTGTTTAAACTGTACCCCAAATAGCAGTGTGTTGGTAAGTGAAGGCTTAGGCAGCTTCCCTTGTACTTTTGATATTTTTATTCCCTGGTTTTTAAAAAACATTTCCAAATGATTAAACAAGGCCAGGTTTTTTCATCTTGCTGTTTAAGGAATAAAAGCATTTTTGTAAGTTCTAACAGTAGCTCTGGTGGACTGGGTTATGTTACTTTAGAAATTGATGTTCTTTGTAATATTCACCATTCAGGAACACTGAAAAGCAGTTTTGTAGCTTTACCAACTACTTCAGTTTTCATATGAAAACCAAGTTTTTGATTTATGAAATATTTAGAATTTAAAATAGGCATAAATGCTCCCTTCTAGTGCCCAGCTCTGCCCGGGCAGTGTTCAGTTCACAAGCAATGCTGGCTGGTCTGCTCCAGAGGGAACCAGGGTCAAGGCAGAGATCTGGCTGCAATCCTTGCTTCTGAAAGGCGACATTACCTGAATCCAGGTTCAGAAATCCCTGCATTTGTGTTCTGGGAAAAGTCTGCTGCAGAGAAGCCCCCTCCACACAGGATGTGAATGCCTAGCTGACCTCTTGTTATCTACTGGCCAGTCTGCACCAGATACTGTCTGGACCACACTTTAAGCCCTCTCCTTCCTGATGGCCCTGAACTTTGACCCATAGCCCGAGCCTGCATAGCCCTCTGAAAGGCCTTCTCTCACCTGCTGACTTTAAGGAAATCCCCAGTCAAATCCAGTCCCACACCCCCTCCTGTTCCTTCTTGCTGGCCTCACCCTTCTCTGCCTGACCTTTGTGACTCTTAGAGACCTGTAGTCTTCTTCCTCCTGTACAGTAGCCCTCCCCTCTTTGGTAGTGTGTCCAGGAAGGTCTCCACCTACTGAAGATCTAGTTTATACTGCATATGTTTTTTTAATCTAGAGAATGGAGCTGGTAGATGACCTAACTTCCCAATTGTGGTCTTTCAGAAAATAAAAGGAGAATAGACCAGAAAAAAAAAAAAAAGGAGAGAAGCAAACAGGCAAGCTTGAGCCAAACAGCACATCCAGGGGCATCTGTGCTGTGTCTGACCTGGGGTCTCAGCATGCACAGCTTTCTCCTGGACTGCACACACTTGGCTTGGAATGAGCATGAACCAGGTGTCTTTGCCAGCGGCTGTCTCTTGAAATCTGTTCATTCTTCTCAGTTGTGGTGAATTTTGAAGCAAATTCTGTATAATATGTCAGGATTATATACTATTGGTTACAATCACATTTTCTGTGATAAAATTTCTTCAAATTTTAGGAACTGTGTTTAGCACTATTAATTTTAGAATATATAAGATTCTTATTATGGTTTTTAGTTATTCATTACTATTTAAAATGTTTTCCCTTAACTATTCTCACATTTTTATAAGTTTGGCACAAACGATGAAGACCCTGAGGCTAAGAAAAAACACAGTGAAATTTTCCTTATATAGGCACTTTACAAATACTCTCATATTTGCTGTGTTGGGTAAGTGATTGACTTTTTCTCATTATGATAAAGCATTTCAATATTTCATGTTCTGTCCTCCAAAGGTGACTTTTTAATGTGTGTTTCAGCTTCCATAGTGTTTATGGTGTGGACAACCAAGACATTTAGAATTGCAAAATGCCAATCAGTAAGTAAATCTTCCTAGTTAAATTGCCATTAATTTTAGTTATACTATTTTGTGGAATTTTGAAGAATTTAGTTTGTTTACAAATAGAGGTAATTTTGATGGAAAATTTCCTTTTACTTTGAATGATATTGTATAGAATTACCAACACTTTACCTCTTTTAAATGAACCTGAAAAAGGAATTTCCCCTAAATCTCCTTTTTCTATCATGCTTTTTTCTAAACTTCTTATATATTTTCAAAAAGAATTTCCTTCCTGTAGTTTAAAATAATAGGAAAGGACTGTAGCCGTAACTCAGTGGTAGTGTTTGCCTGGGTTCATCCAAGCACAAAAAGTAATAAATAAATAAAAAGACAGGAAATTTTTTTCTCCTTGCATGCATACCATGAAGTTGGGTGGGCTTTTGTCTTTTTTTTTTTTTCTTTTTTTGGTGCTTGGGATTGAATCCAGAGACCTGTGCATGCTAAGCCCACACTCTGCACTGAGTTACACAGCAGCCCAGGTCTGTGTCATGGTGGGCTGGAGTCCTTAAGCTGGGCGTGTGTCGGTGATGGTGTTTTCAATGTGAGCCTTCAGAACTCCCAATGAGTGTTTGAGTGTTTTAGTTGGAAGAAAATGCCTTTCTCAGACTTGCAATGTGAAAGACCCTCTTTTAGGGGTCTCTTGAGTTTGGTGCTAGTCTCTAGTTCTGCATAAATAATCACAAAGTGCCCCCTCAAGTCCTGAGCTACTGCTGGCTTAAGGACAATGTAATGAAATAAGAGGTAACTTTTTTCTTTCTTCCCTCATCTTAATATTTTATACTCAAAGTTCTAAGTGTATTTTTAGGATCTTTTGTTTTCTAAATCTTTCTGTTCACCCTAAAATTTCATGGAAAGGCATGTTTGTAAGAGAAAGTAGCACTTTATAAACACTTCAAACAATATAGGTTGCTTAAAAAATAGGTACTTATTTATTTGAAAGACTTACTTGTTGGAGAGATGCCATTAGTCCTCGTCATGGTGCTCTGTTTGGATGGGAAATCTGTATGTTTGTCAGAAAATTAACTTCTCCTGTTTGACATGCTCTTCTTGTAGGACTGGATGGAACTCTGGGTGGATGAGGCCTTTTGGAGCTTCCTGTTCTCACTCATCCTTATTGTAATAATGTTTTTGTGGAGACCATCGGCAAATAACCAGAGGTACCTAGCATACGTAGCTGAAGTTGGCAGGCATTTGTTGACCCCTCCTAGAGTCAAAAACACTTTGAGAAACTGGGGAAGTAGTCTTTGCTTTTAAGCAGTATATAGTCAAGTGGGGCGACAAACATAAAAAATGCGAGATAGTGAAATAAGAGGTGTGTAAACCAGTCTAGAGGGGAGAGGGACGAGGACGATACCAGGAGGAGGCATGCTGCTCCTTTAGGAAAGGAGCAGATGGTGGAGGATTGAGCTGGGGAAGAATGTGCATCTTCTGGGTGGGGGAAGGCGAATCAGGCAGTTTGGTCAGAATTGAGGTTGAGTGTCTCCTCTTTCTTTTTTCTGTTTTCACATGGTGCTGGGCTTGAACTCAGGCCCTCATGTGTGCTAGGCAAGTGCTCTATCACTGAGCCACAGCCCAGATGGAAGGTTGAGTATCTCTTATCCAACATGCTTGGGACAGGAATGTTTCAGATTTTGGATTTTTTCAATTATTAAGCATTTGCATAGATTTTACCAGTTGAACTTTCCTAACCTGATTATCTGAAATCCAAAATCTGAAACTTTCTGGAGCACTGACATGATGTTCAGAACATTTTTAGATCTTTGGATTTGGGGTGCCCCACCTGTGCTTATAGGGGAGTAAAGCTGGAAAGGAAGGGTGGGACCAGAGTGGTGCAGGCTTCAGTGTCACGTTCAGAAACTCATGCCTTGGGCTGTAGTGATGGGAAGACCACTTCCTGCCTCACCTCTCAGCCTACGGAAACAACTATTATATTCCTTGTCTGTCCTTCAAGGAAAAAAGGAAAAAGTATGTGTGTTGCTCTCCCCCTTTTAAAAATGGCAGTCATACACACGTGGCTCTGTTTCACACCTTTTTGTGTAAGACGTGTCTTTCCATGTTGTCATTTGTAGGTCCAGTACTTTTTAAAAACTTTTTGTTACTGGGGACTGAACCCAGAGGTGCTTTACTACTGAACCACATCCCTAGCCCTTTTTACTTTTTGATACAGGATCTCACTAAGTTGCTTAGGCTCTCACCGAGTTGCTGAGGCTGGCCTTGAACTTGTGATCCTCCTGCCTCAGCCTCCCAAGCCACTGGGACTGCAGGCACGCGCCATCATAGCTTACCACATTATTTTTTAAAGGCTCTATGGCATTCCACAATATGCCTACAGCAGTTTATATAAGCAGTTCTCATTATTAGACATTTTGTCTTTAGACTCTTGCTGTTATCAAGAACAAGAATGCTGTTGGACATCTGTCTGGGTAAACTCTTGTTAGTGGAATGAATGGCAGGTGGAACTGTGATAGCTAGTACCAGAAGGTCTTGAGGAAAGGAGGCTTTGATTAATCACCATCAGCAGGATGTTTTCATCCACAAAAGTGTGACTCCACCAGGGGTTTTATTTTCACCAGTCAGACTTTCTCTTCATTAGGGGACAAGCTGGAAAGCCGCGGGCAGGAAGGAGAACCTCGAGGGGAGACAGAAGTACTGCAGGGCATAACCTGCCTGAGCACATAGATTGTATAGATTGTGGAATTGCTTTCCAGAAAGATTTTATCCACTTCTGCTTTCACCAGCATAGCTTCACGGTGATTCTTGCTGACTCGAGAATTAAATAATTAAATTTTACATTTTTTATTAAAGAACCTTTCAACATGTAGGGTTTTTTAAATTAATTTACTTTTATAAACCTTTATTTTATTTATTTGTTTGTTTGTTTGTTTATTTATTTTTATGTGGTGCTGAGGATCAAACCCAGGACCTCCCACATACTAGGCGAATGCTCTACCGCTAAGCCACAACCCCAGTCCCAAGATGTAGGTTTTTATATATAATGACTACTTTAGATATAAACTAAAAATTGAACAGGTTTAAGCACACTAGTGACACTATCCTCCTTCTTTATACAGATATGCATTCATGCCCTTAATAGATGATTCTGATGATGAAGTTGAAGAATTCATGGTAACGTCTGAAAATTTAAGTGAGTGTTATGTTTTCTCTTTAAGTGACGGTTGTACTTGCTGTAGCAGGTCAGATCTTTCCCTGATGTGATACGCAGCCACATGCATCATTTTAAATTCTCCTGTAAATATTTGTAAACGTTACCTAAAGGAACCTTTTCTTATGATAGGCGCTCATAAAAAGAAAAGTCAGCGATTAAATTTGGGGATTGCCAAATGTAGCTGGAGCCTTTATTCCTTATTTGCACTTAAAGCATTACAGTGGGCATATGGTTCTCACATCGTGGTCCCAAAGTGTGGTGCTTAGTCTGGAGAGGTGCTGATCTTACATGGTGTCTGGGTTTCTGTGCCTTGTCTCTTCTTGCTCTTCTAAAAGCATGCACACCTATTGTTTCCCAGTTATGTCCACAGCTTGTCTAATATGGTTCCAGTACCATGTATTTTCTCTCTGTTGGTCTCCACATCGCATTTTGCAGTCTGGTTTGTCTGCCATGTGCTCTAATGAAGCCCTCAATAAGGCAGCATCAAGGTGTAATTCAGATACTGAGAGTGACTCTACCTGTTCTGTCTTGCTTTCCTTCTGCTTTGATTTCTCTTATTAGTAACATTCTTTCTCATAATTTATTTTGATTCTTGCCTCATTGTCTAAAATTCTTTGAAAATGCCTGGTCAGCAAACATCATGGCATGATCAGCGTGCTTCCAGTGCCCCTTCCTTTACCTCTTCTCATCTTCCTCTCACCAGCAACCCACTCTTTCATGTTTTTTTGACCCTCCTGTTAAGAAAGTTCAGAAACCCAAAAAGCTTATTTATTAAATTATTATTATTAGAATTAATTAAATTATTAGTATTAGAATTCCATGCACTGAAGTTCCAGCTTCTGGAATGATGGGGTGAACTGTAGCGACACACTTTTGTGTTGATGTCTGACCAGTATCTACTCAGTGGACACTGACAATACGGAGCACTGGAAAGCACTGGAGAGCAACCAAACCCAGAGCAGAACCCGGGCAGTGACCCTCTTCAGAGTCCCCATTGACAGAACCTATCCTGACACATGGCCTCTGGGGACGCTGGCCTGCCCACAAAGGGGGAGTGGAGAGTGGAGAGTGGGGCTGTGCAATGCCTGAAGACCGCAGGGGAACTCTGTGAAGGGGAGAGCACACGTCTCTCAAGCCTCCACTGATGCTGAACGGGGCCTGTGCTGAGCAGGACTCCAGGATACCAGAGAGGGAGGCCATTTGCCTGAGGAGTAGAGCAGAGATGTGGGGGTTGCCCACTGCGGCTTTCGAAAAGTGAGTCTCAGCAAGTGAAAGGGCTTAGATGAACACCTTGGGCTTTCCTTGAAACCGCTGAACAAACCATGCTCTGGGATCTTCGGTATTCACCTAAAACTAAAGCAGAGCTGGAGAAAACCACCCTACTGAAATCTAACGAGGTCAGTACAGGTCAGCAATCCATGGGAAGTTCAGGAGAGAGGGAACCTGGGAGAAAGGCATAGGCACGAGAGGAGAAGCGAGAACCAGAGCACTACAACTGAAGATCTAATGTCTGACGTCACTCGCTGGGTTGGATTAACAGGAGACGCGCAGGTTGGATGCACAGAAGGGAAGGGTGAACATTTGGAGACAGATCAAAAGACATAAACTGAAAATTAGAGAGAAAGGCTAGAAACAAAGTGAATGTGACCTGAGTGACCCATGGCCTTATTGAACATTCTGCACGTGCGTAACTGAGCTCCAGAGGAAGAGGGGATGGGGAATAAAAATATTTGCAAAAACACAGAAATGATTAATAACACTAACCTTGGATCTGCAAAGCTCTAATGAGAAGCACAGAGGAAGTGTTCAGAGACCTTAGAGGCAGACTACTGAAAACCAATACAGAGCTTTCCAAAGAAGCCATTGGAAGAAGGTACTTTACACCCAGAGACCAGTGACAGCAGACTGAAAATTGGTCATCAGCAGAGCTGGCCTAAGAAAAATGCTAAGGGAAATTCCTTAGATTGAAGAGAAGTAGTATCAATTTAAAAACTAGCTATAAGAGAAACAGAAGGAAAAGTCAATTGATCTTTTGAAGCAAAAATAGTGAGGGTACATTGTGAGGTTTGTAAGATATGTGGAAGTAAAATATATGAATGTCACACGAAGGACAGGCTAGGTGTAAATGAAACCCACAATATGTTACAGTTTCTATGTGCAGAGTAGATTTCGATAAGTATGAAACATTTTGGAATCTTTGGAGCATCCAGTTAAAAAGCAGCCAACAGAAGGGATAGAACAGAATATTAAAACAACCCAAAAGAAAATAGGAAGGAAAAGACAGAAGGGACCAACATAAAACAAATTACAATGTGGTTGATGTAAATCTAACTGTTTTAATAATTGCATTAAATGCAGGTGGACTGAATATTCAAGTTCAGAGATTGTTAAACTATTCTTTAAAAAAAAAGTGAAATCACGTTATGGGATATCTGTAGGAGATGCTTTAAAAATGACACCTGGTTGTGAAAAGTACATAAAGTGAAAAAATGTGTACAACAAAAACACTAAGCATAGGAGAGTCAGGGTGGGTTCTGATGAAGTACACCTCAAGGCAGAACCACCAGGATTTTAAAAAGCATCTTTTCAGCCAGGCACAGTAGTGCACCTCTGTAATCCCAGTGACTCAGGAGGCTAAAGCAGGAGGATTGCAATTTTGATGCCATCATCAGCAACTTAGTGAGGCCCTGTCTCAAAATAAAAAAAAAATACTGGGGATGTAATTTAGCACCCTTGGGTTCAACCCCCAGTACCTAAACAAATAAAAGTTTAAAAGCATAATTTCTTAATGGTAAAATGTTAAATTTACCAAGAAGCCATATTTCACATATTTTAAAGTTACATAGACAAATTTGGTCATAATTATCTATTTGAACATTCCTTTTTCAGTCCTAATAATGCAAGTGGACAAATCAGTTATGAGTTGAACAAAGCCTTAATTGACCTGTTTAAGTCCACATTGAACAAGATAGACTATAATATATGGCTTTGAAAAGTCTTTTCAATATTCCCACAAGGGCTGGTGGTTTAACTCAGCAGTAGAGCACTTGCCTATCATATGTAACGGCCTGGGTGCAGTCCCCAGCACAGCAAAAGCTGAAAATTCAAAGATTGCATTTCTGCGGAGAGGAAACTGTAACCATGATGGAATTAAACTAGGCACTATTGATAGTAGATACCTAAAAAGAATCCAACATTTGGAAGTTGATAGCACGCTCCTGAGTAACTAACGGGTAGAAGAAATCACAAGTGCTAATCTAAAATGTTTTCTATTAAATGATAAAAATAGCATATCAAACTTTGTGGGACTAGCAAGTCCCCAGAAAACGGATGGCTTCAGGGGCTGGAGATGTGGCTCAAGCGGTAGCGCGCTCGCCTTGCATGCGTGCGGCCCGGGTTCGATCCTCAGCACCACATACAAACAAAGATGTTGTGTCCACCGAATACTAAAAAATAAAAAAAAAAAATTAAACAAACAAACAAAAAAACGGATGGCTTCAGTGGCTGGCAGTTTTTACTAAGAAAGGAAGCATGTAAGACAAGTGACTTGTATGTCTAAGAACTAAAAAAGTAAAAAAAGAAGGTCAGATTAACCTAGAGTAGTTAATGAAAAGGAAGGGAATTTGAAGGTTAAGCGCCTATATCATGAAATGGAAAGCAGGGAGAACAGAGGAAATCAACAGAGCCCTCCAAAGGGGCTTAGTAGAAATGGCATTTACTGCCATCTATTGTCAATGAGAGAGAAGGACAATAAATACCAGTGTAGGGAGAGACTTCCAGTGTTGGGAGCAGTATTTGGGTACACAGGTAATGTAACCACCAGCTCTGTGGTAGTCAGTGGGCACCTTGAATGGAGTAGACAAAGTCCTTGAAAAAGAACACACAACAAAACTACCCTAATCTTAGTTCTAAACTTATGCCACCAATTCTGGGTAGCCCTTTATCAAAGAAATTTGGTTTATAATTTAAAATCTTCCTATAGAGTACTAGATCCCTGGTGAATCTTTCAAATATTTCATTGAGGAAGAAATCTTTCAATCCTATACAAACTCTAGGATGTAGAGGAGATGAGAAACTTTCCAATTTGTTTTATAAAGCCAGCGCAACTAAGATGCCAAAATCTAACAAAGACATTACAAGAAAAAAATTACCAATATCATTGAGTAGAGACATTAAAAATCTTTAAAAATATTAATGAATAAAATCTAGCAAAGTATGGAAAGGCAATCATCATCAAGGGATCTTATCCCAGGGTTGTTAGACTGTTTTAACATTTTGGAAATCACTTAGTGTAATTCATCATATTAAAAGAACGAAGAGGCCAAGTACAATGTCGCTCACCTGTAATCCCAGCTCCTCAGGAGGCTAGGCAGGAGGATCGCCAAGTTCAAGATCAGCCTTGGCCACTTAGTGAGGCCCTGTCTCAAAAAAGTGATAAAAGGAGCCAAGGAGTAGCTCAGTGGTAAAATGCCTCTGGGTTCAATCCCCAGCACCAAAAAAGAAAAAAAAGTATCTCACTAGACGCAGATCTTATAAAAACCAACTCAACAAAGTAATTTTGAAATGGCATGAAAAGACTATATAGTAACTATACTCAGTGGTGAAACAGCCAGTGGTTTCCTCCCAGGCCGTCGAGCACAAGGGTGCTGGAGAGCGGGAAAAGCAGGGGTGCGGGGGAGTGTTGAGACTCCTTGTTTGTACACTTAGAAAACCCTGCAGCGTCTGTTCAAGTAGAGGAGAATCAGTAAGTGACGACACAAAATCTCACCAGTTGTTTTTCTGTATACTGACTGAAAGCAGGAAAGTTAAATCTTCAAAAATAAAATATTTAGGAACAAGTTTATTGAAAAAATGCGAAGAATCTCTGCACTGAAGACCACAAAATAATGCAGAAAGAAATTTTAGGATAAAGAAATACAGAGATCTAACACATCTATGAATTGGAACTTTTGATATTAAACTGTCAGTACACCAAACTGATAAGTAGATTCAGGGCAATCTGAGTCATAATTCTAGCTGACAAAAAAATAGACACAAAGGTTAAGCTGAGGGCTGGGGCTGGGGCTCAGTGGCAGAGCGCTTGCCTAGCATGTGTGAGTCACTGGGTGCCATCCCAGCACCACATAAAAATAAACAAAGGCATTTGTCCATTTACAACTATAAAAATTAAAAAGGGTTAAGCTGATTTTAAAATGCATATGGAAAAGCAAAAGTCCTGAAGAAGCTTAAACCTTCTTGAGTCATGATGTGGACACACCTTGAAAACTCATTAAGTGAAAGAGACCAGTGACAGAAGTGAGCCCACCCACGGGTCAGTTGACTGGCCCAGGCATTGGGGCTTTTATAAGGAGAGGCAGTCTTTTCCACAGAAAGTGCTGGAACAACTGTTGGAACATATGGAGAAGTTACCTGGATGGCTAGCACACATCTAACCATAATTAGTTCAAGGTGGATCACAGACCTAAGAGTAAATCACTAAATTATAAATCTTCCAGATAAAAACAGACGCTGTCTTCATGACCTTGGATGTGGTAATTTCTTAGTACACAAAAGACAGTAATCATAAAAATTTTTAAAAATCAATAAAATAAGCTTCATTGAAATTAAAATTTTATGTTCATCAGTAGAAACTTAAGAAAATGAAAAGACTACCTATAGTGTGTGGGATAAAATATTCTCAATAGATGTATCTGACACCAAGTCATAAGGTAAGAATTCCTGCAAATCAGTCAAAGAAAACCCACGTTGTAAACAGGGACAGGAGACTTGAATGGACATTTCACTAGAGAAGACAGCAGTAGCATTAAGGTACAGGTACTCCGTGTCCTTGTCACCAGGGAAACACAGCTCATGCTGTAATAAGATGCCACCACACCTCCCTTAGAGGGCTGAAAATACAAGGCCCGCAGCAGCTGGGTGTCTCCTGCACCACTAAAAGGAAGGGAAGGCAGGAAGAGTGCTCCAGAAGCAGCCCCACAGTTTCATAAAAGCCCAAACTTAGAGCTGTCAGGCAGTGCAGCCATTCCACTCCCAAGAGGAAATGAACCAGGTGTCCACAGAAGGACAGGACTGTTTATAGCCACTTGATTATTCCTCATTATCCAAAGCTGGAAATAACAGACCTCTATCAACAGGTGAATGGATGAAGATACTGGGCTGGGGATGTGGCTCAAGCGGTAATGTGCTCGCCTGGCCTGCAAGGGGCGCTGGGTTTGATCCTCAGCACCACATAAAAATAAAATAAAGATGTTGTGTCCATTGAAAACTAAAAAATATTTAAAAATTCTCTCTCTCTCTCTTTAAAAAAAAAGAAAGAAATTCAATACTATCCAGTAACATTCTATACAGGAATGAATCTAAGAACTTTACATTGCACAAAAATACCCAAATCCAAAAGAGCATAGATGATAGTTCTGTATATGACATTATAGGAGAGGCAAAAGGAGCCACGTAATAGTCTCAGAACAGGATTGCTAGGATTGATTGGGAAGGAACATAAAGAACCTTTTGTGATGTATTCAATGTCTTGATTGGGATGGTAGTTACATAAAGGTATGTGTTTGTCAAACCTCTTTAGTCTGTACACTTAAAATTTGTGTATTGTTATATAAGTGTACTTCAATTTTTAGGGATTAGCATATTGTACCTCTTAAAGAAACGCTAGAATTTACAATGCCCCATGGAAACATTTTTTAGATTCTAGAACTTCATCTTATTTCATTATATCATCTTACACTGTTTTTTTATTAATATATTTTTTAGTTGTTGATGGACTTTTTTTTTTTTTAATGTGGTACTGAGAATTGAACCTAGTACCTCACACATGCTAGGCAAGTGCTCTACCACTGAGCTACAACGCCCCCATCTTACACTATACATCTCACAATAATGTACCAATTGTCCTAGATTATGGAGAAGCAATATTTGTAAATTACTGTAATAACAAATGTGAATACTTACTGGGCATAAGTAAGTATTTGTGTGTCAGGTACTTTTTATGTGCTAAGTTGTGTAATGCTCCCAGAACTCTATGAGAGAGAGACATTGTAATCTCCATTTTAGAGCTGGAAACACCAAGTCATCGCTTTACCCAAGGTTACATAAGAAGAGCCAGATTATAAGTGAGCCAGTTTAGTTCAAGATCCAAGCTCTTGACCTTTGCCACACTGAAACTGCTGATATAAAGAAGAATCTAGGTCATATATGAACAAAATGTTTTTCTTCCTCATCTTATTTCTACCGTAAGCATGTTCCAACAACTTATTTATCAGCAAAGTAAAAATACCCAAATGTGTGTTTTATTCTTGAACATGATGCTGCAGATTCTACAGACGTCCAAGTTCGGAAACTGAAGTGAATTTACAGGAAATAATGCGAGCGTGTGCACATTGCACTCTAAAGCTAGGTTTCAGACTAATAACTTGTACTGGTTCTGATGAACAGTTGTCAAAAACCCAGCCTGGAGGACATCGTGAATTGAAATCCGCCTGGGCAGAGGTCACACCATGAGGCCTCACTCATAGGAGAAAGCTAGAAAGGCTGGTCCTGCAGGGGTGGAGAGTGGGCTGATGTTGCTGGTGGGGAGGGGAGATTGTGGACGGCTGGTTAAAGGTGCAAACTACAGGCAGGTGGAAGGAGTTCCAGAGAGACTGCAGTTGGCCACAGTCACTGCGTGTTTCACAGTGGCTAGAAGAGAGGACACCAATGAGTCCAGCAAAGAAATAATGACTGTCTGAGAGCATAGATGTACTTGTCACTCTGGCCGATCACAAATTATACACGTGTATTGAAATGTCCCAGCCACCCATAAATATACATTATCTTTATATCAATTTTTTAAAACTATTAACTTTTTCCATACCTCTTTCCTATATCTTCAAATGGCATAGTAAAGCTAGCACTCTGCTCAGAGTTTCCACTGTTAACTTTCCTTTAGGGGAAAAAAATCCTTTTTCTTAATGGGTTATTAAATGTGAAGTAATAAAGGAAAATATTATTTTATAATTTACATATATGTATAATGTTTCTCTTCACAGCTGAAGGAATAAAATTAAGAGCCTCAAAAACTGTTTCCAATGGAGCAGCTAAACCTGCTACTTCTGATAATTTTGTGAGTATAGTATGTATTTAATAGAATCTCAGTCTTTAATGCTTCAGAATCTGTGAGTGTGCTGTTCATTGATTCTCAGAACAGTTTCAGCCATGGTTTTTGATGTAACTGTTACCATATGGCAATACTAGTTCAAGCCCATAACTCTGATACATTTCAAAAGTGCTTTCCTGGGGCCAGCAGCAGTGAGCATCACCTGGAGCTTTTAGAAATTCAAAGTCTCAGGCTTGCCCCAGACCTGCAATGCTGAATCTGCTTTCTAACAAGATTCCATGACTGATTTTGTACATTAAAGATTGAGAAGTAGGGGCTGGAAATGTGGCTCAGTCAGCAGCATGCTTGCCTGGCATGCGCGGGGTGGTGGGTTCGATCCTCAGCACCACATAAAAATAAAAATAAAGATGTTAGGGGCTGGGGATGTGGCTCAAGCGGTAATGCGCTCGCCTGGCAAGTGTGCGGCCCCGGTTCGATCCTTAGCACCACATACCAACAAAGATGTTGTGTCTGCCGAGAACTAAAAAAAATAAATAGAT